GGAAGGAAGGAAGGAAGGAAGGAAGGAAGGAAGGAAGGAAGGAAGATGTGAGCCCCTTGCATTTGTGCTGGTGTTAGCACACCTCCATGCAGTGGTGTCTTGTCAGGAGATCTGGCTGTAGCTCCACAGAGCGTCTGGAACACCATCGTCAGCTCTCAGCACATGCTTATGAAAGGGAAGGGTCGAAAGGGAGCGTAGCTTCGGAGTCAGAGCTGGAGATACAGGTTTGGCAGCCACCCTTTCAAGAGGACAGGACTTTCCACCTGATGGGAAAAGTATCCGAACAGTAGAGCAGAGGGCCAAGAATCGAGGCTTGTGGAATGCTTGCGGTGGGGTTTGGGCAGAGGCAAGAATCCGAGGAAGATAATAAATAGGAAAGCAGAGACACGATGTCACAGGAATCAGGGGCGAACACGGTTAGAAAGCGGAGCGGTTGACAGTCTCAAATGCGGCCAAGCTCAAACAGCAAGTGGGCTGTGCAACGACCCAAGTCCTGGGTCTCCTTAGACAGCCCCCCTCCAAACTCTACCATATCTGGGTACAGTGGGGCCTTGACTTACGAGTGTCCCGACTAACGAGCTTTTTGAGATACCAGCTGTCTCTCCACCGATTTTTTGCATTGAGTTGACAGAGTAATTTGAGTTGACAAGCTCCTTAATGAGCTCCTTAACGAGCTCGGTCTCAGAACGAATTCAACTAGTAAGTCAAGGCCCCACTGTATTTCTCTCCAGCTTCTACAGCATCCTCACATTGGCACCAGCTAGCTTCCCTAGCCCTGAAGTGCCGAACATCCTCCACTCCCACGCCCGCATTAACCCACAGTTTCACAGCACAGTTCTAATCTTCTGTGCTCTGCCTCTTTCTTGTTTCCTGGATGACCATTGCTTTTGATTTTTAAAATTTTCTTTTTTTAAAAAAATATGTTTTTATTTATTTCAGAGAGGAAGGGGGAGGGAGAGAGAGAGATAGAAACATCAATGATGAGAGAGAATCATGGATAGGCTGCCTCCTGCACGCCCCCTATTGGGGATCAAGCCCTCAACCCAGGCATGTGCCCTGACCAGGAATTGAACCCTGACCTCCTGGTTCATAAGTCGATGCTCAACCACTGAGCCACACAGGCTGGGCTTACTCACTAGTTTTAGTTTTGGCTAAGAGATCCCTCCCATAACGACCGTCACTGTGTCCCAAGCCCCTTTATCTGATGAGATTGGCATGGTTGCTTCTACAGGCATTTTTATTTCTCTTCATTAGGTAGGTAAGTGTTTCTTCTATAGATGAGGAAATGCCCAATTTTAAAAATAAACTTCTTTATAGAACTTCCAAATAAGTTATAAGTTAATAAGTCAACACTTAGCACCCTTTGATGTCAGGGCATAAAACTGAAACATCATAGATTTTTTTCCCTTCAGGGTCTTGCCTTTTAGATAAACACCTAAGTCTGAATAACTTAAGACTCTGACTTACTAATATTAACTTAAAACTTTATTACCCTGGCTGGTTTGGCTCAGTGGATAGAGCATCAGCCTGCGGACTGAAAGGTCCCGGGTTCGATTCCGGTCAAGGGCATGTACCTGGGTTGCGGGCACATCCCCAGTAGGAGATGTGCAGGAAGCTGATTGATGTTTCTCTTTCATTGATGTTTCTAACACGATCCCTCTCCCTTCCTCTCTGTAAAAAATCAATAAAATACATTTTTCTAAAAACTTTATTAACATAGTTTCACCTAATTATGAAATGGATTTAGTTTCGCTCACCTGCTTTTAAAGATTCTATTAATAGCAACTGGGAGAAAGAATGTAATTGACTTTTAATTGTTTTGTGTGTGGAAAAATACAAGTTATTTTAAAAATCGGCTCTTGATAATCACCAGTTTGGTATCGGTTGCCAGCAAACAAGGCAAAGCATATGCCACAAATACTCATGATTATTTGGTAATAAATCATTTTAATGATTCTACTCAAAATTATGAAATGAGGGTGACACTGATGTGGAAAATAATGAAGGCCCAGGCCCATCCGCTCTGGTATCCATATGTGCATGGGCTTTAAAGATTCCACCGCCATCATTCCAGCACAAATATTGTCTCTGTATCACCCTTGCTAGCAAGGAAAGCCAGTTGATCTGGTCAAGTTTGTGTAGATATATTACTCAAAATGGTCTCACATATGGTTTTTTGGTGTGGTGTGTGGTGTGTGTGTGTGTGTGTGTGTGTGTACTTTAGGGAATTGAGAATAAATGTGACATCAATTACTGGTTCACACAAGACTGACTCATTGGAATCAAAGTGCTCTTCCACCTTTTAACTATACAATTGAGAATCCTGAGGCCTAAAAGTTGTCTCTCTCTTTCCTCTTCGCTCAGAATAAAATCGAACCTCTTAGTTTGGATTCTATTGAGAGCTGGAGGACATGCTTCTCACAACACCAGGGGTGGTCCCTCCCGTAATGACCATCACACTATCCCAAGCCCCTTTATCCATGTCAGTCTTCACAACAACTCTAGAAAGTAAGGAGAGTCCCATTGTGTGGGGCTGGGATACAGGCTGGGCGACCTTCAGGAACGTGTTCAGAGCCACAGGCCTCTAAACGCAGCCTCAGGAACGGAACCCGGGTCTGTGGCTGAAAAGCGCCCACACACTCAGGAATGCCTACTGAACAGCAGTGTGATCAAAATAAGGAACATCTGCCCTGACCGGTGTGGCTCAGTGGATAGAGCGTCGGCCTGCGGACTGAAGGGTCCCAGGTTCGATTCCGGTCAAGGGCATGTACCTTGGTTGCTGGCACATCCCCAGTAGGGAGTGTGCAGGAGGCAGCTGATCGATGTTTCTCTCTCATCGATGTTTCTAACTCTCTATCTCTCTTCCTTCCTCTCTGTAAAAAATCAATAAAATATATTTTAAAAAATAAAATAAAAAATAAGGAACATCTTATTCTGAACCCCAATTTTTTTCCAATATGTGATTTCCAATAGGTGCTTCTTGTATAAAAAATACTTAATGTTCATACCTGCCTCGATATGCCTTGAAGAAGTTGGATTTTAAAGAAACTACTTGGAATTCACCTCCAACACCAAGAATTATGCCTTGATTGCGAAAACAAAGACGGTGAATTGAGAATGAAGTCCCGCCGTTGTGTTCATTTGTGAATAACATATTGCAGCCAACTGTTCCCTAATTGCCCGGACTGTTGATGAATAAGCCAGCCCTGCTCAGCACAGACAATTTGCTTTGGATCAGACCGGGCAAGGCAAACAACACTAATTACAGCGGAACCCTTTCCTACAAATGCCTATGTGTTGCGGGGAAAGAAAAAAAAAATCCCTATGTAAAAAGAGAACGCACTTGTCTCTCATTTCGCCTGACACAGCACCTGTTACCTGGGCTCCAGAAACTATTAGTCGCACGAATTCTGACTGAATAAAAATGGATCATGTTGTATTTCGTGTTGGGAAACACATGTGTATTTTATTCCTTTGCTGTGTATTGCCCTCTCATGACCTTGGTTAATTTTATATTTTTCATTAAAAGATGGGATGGATGGGGAAGCTTTATTTCAAGCAGTATTTTCATTGAAATAAGCGATGGTGGAAAATGGGGATTTGCTATAACAGAGACATGCCTATGAATAGACAGGAGTGTCTCTACCAGAAAGGAACCAAGACTTTCGGAAGTCTTCCCTGTATCAGGGGATTTGCTGTAACGAGATATCATTGTATTTATGGTTTTATGGTGTTAGAATGAATGTTAAACGGAACCGAATTCCCAAGCATTCCTCGGGAGGCAGCTAAGTACAGAGCATTTTGTACAGATGGTTGGAAGGCACAATTTTCCTCCATCGCTGCATCCCCATCCTTGAACGCTTTCGACTGAAGACAGCCTTTCTTTGAATTTTTCATTAAACCAGACGTCTTGAAATATGAATTCCTTTTATGTTTCTGTGAGTTTTGGCTAAGAGAGCCCCAGTGAATAAATCATACAATGCTACGTGTCACCAGCACTTGTGAATATTTCTGCTTTGTTATTCTATTCTCAGTAGAGCTCCATTGATTATCAAACTCAGCGGAGAGCATTTTATGATCATATATCTCCATTAGCGCCTAGTTTGACTACCATAGATTTTTCTGGTTAAGCCTGCATTATGTATTAGGAAGCCTATCTCTTCAATACAAAGTTTGATTTCATTTTTCTAAGCCTCGAGCTCTTATTATGTATTATGTATAAAGATTCTTATCTTTTATATGTAAGAAAAGGCTGCACTGTCTTTGTGTAACTGAAATATATGCCATCTTTTTTTTTCTTCTTGATTCACAGTTAGCATATCATGATATGAAGATGAATATCTACAATGCAATGGCTGTCAGGGTAAATATTTCTTCACTTGTTAAACAAATGAAAAGTCAATTGTGCCTTGAATTCGTTTTTAATAAAATGTGCAAACCAGAATAATGCAAATTTGATTGATATGCTAATGCTAAAGAGAGAAAAGAGTACATAGTTAAAAAGTTAGCTATCCTAAATAATCCTGGCAGTATTAAAAATTAGAGTAAAATGTAAAACATGTAATTATCAATGCTTATGTTTTAGAATGTTAAATATCTCTGAGCCATAACTGGAGAAAGACCATAAATATTAATGAAGCAATGTATTCGTTTCCATATGTCATAGAGAATATTGTGATAAATAGATGAACGTGGTTCTGGAATTTAAGATTCCTGCCCAATACAAATCAATTAGAAATTATTCAAATGATTTAACAGTAATAAAGTCAGTTTCCAGCTTAGAAGTTTTATTTCTATCATTTTTGTGTTCATTGTTATGTGTTATTTTCCTGATAGAAAGCTGAAGTTAGTGATTCTGAGGCTGGCTTGGCTTTTGCACAGATTTGAGGACTGGGACGGCAAAAGTTTTTTGGGATTTTTTTTTTGGTTGTTTTTTTTTTGGTCTCAGACATTATGGTCATAGCTTGCTTGTGAAGCTGTTATAAATGGAGACGTTACTTAAGCGAATTTTATTAATGTCCTTAAAACCTACATTGTCTTATATTTTCTTTCATTAATCTATTCATTCTTACTTCTGGTAATAAAGGATTTTATTGGGAGTGAAAAAAGACGGTAAGAGACCTCCTGGAAGTCCTGTGTTGAACTATGGCAGGCGAATTAACGTTATTTTGATTACAGTGGGGCCTTGACTTACAAGTTTAATTCGTTCCGAGACCGAGCTCGTTAAGGAGCTCCTTAACTCAAATTACTCTATCAACTCAATGCAAAAAAATGGCCAAGAGACAGCTGGTATCTCAAAAAACTCGTTAGTCGGGACACTCGTAAGTCAAGGCCCCACTGTATTTATATTCCTGCGGGAAGGTGCGTCCCTCTCCAGGGGTGCCTGTGCTGGGAGTCTCCCCCAGGGACAGTCTCAGTATCTCTGTCCACCGCCCTGTTCTGTGGTTTCAGGGGGAAAACCAAGAGGAAGCAGTAGATCCTCTTGCTTCTTTGTCTGACCCAGAGGCAGACACCCCAGTGGCAGTGGCCTGTTGACCTTGCTTAGAATAGAGTCATAGACATGCCCCCAGGTCATGAACAGGACCATCACCTGCCATCGGAAAGAAAAAACTTCTGTTTTTTTTAATTTGCTTCATATACGGAGCCAATTACAAACTCTATCCCGACCAAGGACTCCTAGCCTGACAAATAAATTACATTCTATTTTCAAGGAGGCTCGGGGACCATTTCTGAAAAGAGAGGAATTTCTAAAAAAATTATTTTTAGCCTATCCATTTCTAAATAGATGTCATTCTTTATAATGAATCAATTACATGTTGTGATTTTTAAAAAGATATATTTTTATTGATTTCAGAGAGGAAAGAAAAGGGAGAGAGAGAGAGAGAGAGAGAGAGAGAGAGAGAGAAGCATCAATGATGAGAGAGAATCATTGATTGGCTGCCTCCTGCACGCCCCCTACTGGGGATCGATCCCACAACCCGGGCATGTGCCCTGGCCCGGAATTGAACTTGGGACTCTTCAGTCCGCAGGCCGACGCTCTATCCACTGTGCCAAACCAGCCAGGGCCACGTTGTGATTTTTTCATGTTGCAGTAGATATTCTTGTTCTGCTTTGCTGCATTTCATTTCCAAAGGGTCACCTTTTCTCTAAAGACTTTACGATCCCCCGACCCACTTGGAATTGATCACCCTCTCTTTTGATGTCCCTATTTTACCATGGACACACTTGTTATAGAACCTGTGGCATCTTATTAGCCTTACTCATTTACATGCTGTATGCACCCCCCGCCCCCTGTAAGTCCCTTGGGGCCCCGAATCCGATCTTCTTCGTCTTTGTATCTGCTACTGGGGATCGATCCCACAACCCGGGCGTGTGCCCTGGCCAGGAATTGAACTTGGGACTCTTCAGTCCGCAGGCCGACGTTCTATCCACTGTGCCAAACCAGCCAGGGCCACGTTGTGATTTTTTTATGTTGCAGTAGATATTCTTGTTCTGCTTTGCTGCATTTCATTTTCAAAGGGTCACCTTTTCTCTAAAGACTTTACGATCCCCTGACCCACGTGGAATTGATCACCCTCTCTTTTGATGTCCCTGTTTTACCATGGACACGCTTCTGTTATAGAACCTGTGACATCTTATTAGCCTTACTCATTTACATGCTGTATGCACCCCCCGCCCCCTGTAAGTCCCTTGGGGCCCCGAATCCGATCTTCTTCGTCTTTGTATCTGCAGTTCTAGGCTTATAGTCGGTGCTTACGTCGATGTCCCTTAATACATCAACCCACGCCAGCTTGCTCTTCTCTAAGCAGGGAGTAAAACAAGTCGTTTGTTTTAAATCCTTTCTGTCTCTGCCCCTCCGGCCCTAGCTGGAGTCACGTTAGCCCTCGTGGGGGATCTTCAGGCTGTTTTGAACTCCTGCGTGGGCTGTGTGGGGTGGGCAGGCTGGAAGTGGGGAGGTCATATTTGGTTAGTGCAGTTCTCATGTGGATGGAAGATCTCATGAGCTTTGGGGTCCTGCCAAAGCCCCCCAACACCGACAGGTCCGCGGAGCTCTCCTGTGGTATAAGCTGCCATCGGAACCCGCAGGACGCCTACACGAAACTCCAGGCCAGGACAGTCCCTTAATACGGCAATCAGTTGCTCAGTAAATTTTTACCTTGGCTCCTGGGCCCTGTTTCTCCTGTGTCTCTGAGTGACACTCAATGGCCTTTTTGGTCTTTGATTTGACTTTGCTCCAGATTCGGGTTCTGCTTCTCCTCCGGCATCTTGGCTGCTTCATTGCGGATCTCTCTTCAGTTTGGCCCCCAACTCCCCCCCCTCCCCTTTTTTTCCCTGTGCCTGATAGGGGGGAGCCCCCCAACCCCCTGATCGGCCCTGCTCTGTGTGTGATAGGGTGCAGCCCCCCAACCCCCCCCCCCCCCCAGCTCTCTCTGCTTGCACAGCTTTTAGTATCTTATGCGAATGTCAGGAGGTGGTGCAGCTGCTCAGCTCCTTTCGCTCCCTGTCCCATCTAGAGGGGCAATTGTGCATCTCTGTGTGGCCGGGTCGAGAGTTGATCCTCCATTTCTGCTGCTGGTTAAACATGGGGTGTCACCTGAGGCCCCCAAAGCACTGGGCTTAGGAAGTCCGCTTCCTAACAGCACTATGTGTGGTATTAAGATGAAGGCAAAATTACTTTGTATAGTTTTCAGGAGTGTTGTGCATTCTAATTCATAAAAAAAAAAGTGTAATTATGAATACGTGTTCTATTTCTGTATGCTCTCATATACATTTGGAGCGTCAACATTAGGTACGTTATTAGTGAATTTGTTGTCCATGTCTTCTTTTATAAAAAGTAAGTTTTCTTATTGATTTCAGAGAGGGGGGAGGGGGGGGAGAGAGAGAGAAACATCAATGATGAGAGAGAATCACTGATAGGCTGCCTCCTGCACGCCCCCTACTGGGGATCAAGCCTGCAACCTGGGCATGTACCCTCACCGGGAATCAAACAGTGACCTCCTGGTTCATAGGTCGACACTCAGTCACTGAGCCACACCAGCTGGGCCATGTCTTCGTTTTTAATTTTAGATGAGAAGACATTATTTTTCTGTCTTTTGATAACATTAAGGTCAGTAAGAATTTTGAGGAGTTAAACTCAATGGAGGTAGATCTTTTCTATGAGTAGATGACTTTTGATATATCAGGCTTTTTGCCATTTGTTTTAGTGCTTAAAATAAATGTTATTTATAAGCCCACTTACGTTTTGATGTTACTTAATGAGGAATATGCATCATTGATTTGACTAGCTTAAGAGGTCATTTGGAAGTTGCCCGTTAACAAGCTGTAATCTGCTGAGCTCGCAATGACTGTTTAAAATTATCTATTCAGAGCTGATCAATGACAATAATTGTTTCATACCAATCACTTCTGAAAGTTGCTGATTACTTTGAAGGACATGAAATAAAAACTCAATAAATGTTAGCTCTTGTTATTGTTAAAGAAGTATTCAAATGGCTTGATGAAGATGCAAGACATTTTGCTTAGAGAACTGATACCACTGAATTTAAAAAGCCCACTTAAAAAATTTATTTCAGCCTAGCCAGTGTGGCTCAGTGGTTGAGCATCAACCCATGAACCAGGAGGTCACAGTTTGGTTCCTCATCAGGACACATGCCCAGGTTGCGGGCTTGATCCCCAGTAGGGGGCATGCAGGAGGCAGCTGATCAGTGACTCACTCTCATCATTGATGTTTCTCTCTCTCCTCCTCCTCCCATCCTTTCTCTGAAATCAATAAAAACATATTTTTTAAAAAATTGATTTCAATGAGACCAAATACAATCTTCAAGTCAGTTGGTTATGTAAAACAAAAAAACTTGTTGAGTCGGGGAATAGAATTGATAGGAATTAGTAAAGCAAATATTTAACCTTTTGGTAGCTAATTTCATACTTAGTGTTTATGAAACAATTATAAATATTTTAAAATAAATTAAGTTTTGGCATTATTATATTATGTAAGCAATCTATGACTACAACCTACACTGGCACCTATACATACTGTTATGTTAATGGAAAAACTTATGATATAATTTATATGCATTATCATCCATCATTCCCTTTATTCTGAGGAACTGTTAATGCTTTCACTAAAAATGTTCACTGGCATATTTTATCTTTCTATTCACTTCAATAGATTCAGAAGCGATGGCGAGGCTATAAGGTTCGAAAATACGGCTTCAATTATTATTATTTCAAGGAATATCTGAGGGCGATATCAGAGACCAACGACGCAGTTAGGTGAGTATAGCATAATCACTAGTCCACTAGTGAAAATTGTAGACCAGTTACTCAACAGGTGTTGAGCATACCCATCATTAGAAATAATTTCTAAAACTCAGTGATAACTTAGGCAGACATGTACTGACAAGATAGAAATGTGATTCTATTTAACTTAAAAACTTATTGTATTATATTTAAATATCCTGTACTCCTGACAGTGTATTAGATTAGATTATGCCTTGGTTCTATGCAGAATCGCTTAGTTTCAATAAAATTGTTTCATTTAAAATGAATTTATCTATATAATGATTCCGTTACCTATGAAGCCTTAAGTATGACAAGCCTCGGATGTGTTTTCAGAAATATGCGCAATAACAAGGCTTGCCTCTCAAAGCAGAAAATAAAATACCATGGAGCATAAGGAAATGGACCGCTGTACTGTCAGGTTTTTTAAAAAAATATATTTTTATTAATTTCAGAGAGAGGAAGGGAGAGGGAGAGAGAGAGAGAGAAACATGAATGACGAGAGCTAAACATCGACTGTCTGCCTCCTGCACACCCGCTATTGGGAATGGAGCCCACAACCTGGGCATGTGCCCTCACCAGGAATCGAACCATGACCTCCTGGTTCACAGGTTGACACTCAACCACTGAGCCACACCTGCCAGGGCCATTCATTTACTTTTTGAAACATATTACAGTGCTACTCAATAAGACCATTTATTGTTACTCAACAAGGAATTTTAAGTTAAAGAGTGGTAGATTTTCCGTGCCGATACATGAAAGACGTGCGAATCCTAAAAAGCGGCTATATGGTAGATTCCCTGGGGAGGTAACGTGTCGGGTGGCCTCCCTATGTGGGCTGTCCTGATATTCCGTTTACTTTTATTATTGGAACTCAAATGAACTTCCCGGTTTATCTATCATGAATCTGAGCAGTTCGGCGGGACAGAGGAAGAGGCGCAGTTCCATTAAGCGCTAACATATCATTGGCTGTCAGGTGAGCCTTGTTATGCTGTCCATCCTCATTTAACTATCCCACAAGATCTCTTAATGAAGTTAAGCCCCAAGTTCACTGCCGTAATTCTGCGGCAAGAGTTTGTGCAATGTAACAATTCATCACTTGTCAGGGAGGCACTTTTAGTTTATACGTTTAATAAGGGCATCCTCGAGCTTGGTTAATTAGAAGTGAACAGTTTGCATATTTACTAAATGCGGAGTGTCATTGCCACCACGGCCTCTTGCCTGCATGAATTATTTCTCTATCTGCCATAAACAGCTGGGTAATTATTACTGCCATAATCAGATAAATTCCCTCTGTAAGGCTTTTCTTACATGGCAGCTCTTTGAACTCATCCAAAGCCGAACAGAATTTATGAACTCCAGCAGGGAGGCCACTTTTTCATACGACCGTGTCCCCGTTCCCGATTTCAAGGACACAAGAAGAGCGCCATAGTCTATTGTGAAGCCCGGCCGGTGTTGCTCAGTGGTTGAGCGTACACCCATGAACCAGGAGGTCACAGTTCGATTTCCGGTCAGGGCACATGCCCGGGTTGTGGGCTTGATCCCCAGTGGGGGGTGTGCATGAGGCAGCTGATAGATGATTCTCTCTCATCATTGATGTTTCTCTCTCTCTCTTCCTTTCTCTCTGAAGTCAATAAAAATATATTTTAATAAAACAAACAAAGAACAGGTGTCTGGTTAATAATACCTGCCCCTTACCAACCTCAGGAGAGTGTTGTGAGGATGGGTTAATGTCTGGGGAAGGGCTTGGAGCTCCTGAAAAAATGTACAATGTGAATACATGTTGTTATTGTGCCTATTGTTGTACTTAGCATAATGCCATTTTCAATTATTCAACATCATGTATGTTATATAAAACTAGAGGCCCGGTACATGAAATTCGTGCACTCTGGGGGGTGGTGTAGTCCTCAGCCAGGATTGCAAGAGGGTGCAGGCCAGGCTGAGGGACCCCACTGGTGCACGATAGGGGATGGGGAGGGATGCGGGAGGTTGGCCGGCTGGGGAGGGACTGCGAGAGGGCTCCAGGGTGTGTCTGACCCGTCTTGCTCAGTCCTGAGATCGGCTGGACCCCAGCAGCAAGCTAACCTACCAGTTGGCGTGTTTGCCCCCTGGTAGTCAGTGCACAACATAGTGAGCTGTTGAGAGGCCTTAGCATATCATTAGCATATTATGCTTCGATTGGTCGAATGGCCATCTGGACACTTAGCATATTAGGCTTTTATTATATAGGGCTTTTACTTCCGTTTAGAGAAACTGTCCAGAATGGTAAAAAGAAAATAATTTTACAGTGAAATATGTGCATATTTTCAGAAAGAATACTGAACAAAAGAATTCTCTTCAAGGAAGTTTATTCAAAAGAGCCAGAAGGAGGAAAAAAAAATGATTTTCACCAATGATCTTTTGAATGGAGTCTTATTACTTTTTAAAATCATGCAAAGTAGGCAAATGAAATAATGGAGCAATTGGACGATCAGAGTGAAGTCATGGTATGGTAATTTTATAACATGGACCATTATCATCTCTTTCATTTGTTTCATTCTCAAAATATCTAGTCCGTAGAGCACCAGTTCGCCGGCATCGCCTTGAGAGAGCCCGTCCACCCTTGGCCAGAAAGCCTCATCTCCTGCTCTAACCTGCCTGTTCCCCTCTGAACTGCATCAAAGTCCCAGCCAGACTCAGGAAGCTCTGGGTTTTGGGGGTTCTTCGGAGTGGCCCCAAATTGGGACAAAGGCCCTGGGCCTATGTGTCTCCTTCTCACCAGTCATGGGATGCAGGCTGGGGGGAGCGGATGGGGCAGCTAGATGCCAGCACTCTTGGCAGCGAGAGGATTGGGTAGTTTGTGGTGCAGGGAGGCATGAATGTGAAAGGATGAGCTCCCCAGCCCGGCCACCCCTTCATGTAGATCCCATGGTGACTCAGCACATAGATCCCATGGTGACTCGGCACATAGATCCCATGGTGACTCGGTACTCATTTAACTGAGACAACCGGACAGAAATATAATGGTGCTGTTCAGTGGTTCTGCACACTCACGTAGGGCAGTGACTCAATGAGGAATGCAAGATTGAGTCTTTTCAACAATTGTATGGATTTTGAAAATTCGTGACTTTGTGTTTTGAAATTACCCCGGATTCGTTTTTCCGGCGCTTTCTCCGGTTTCTTGGATTTCTCTTTAGGGCATGCCAGGTCCTTCTGGGGGGATTGTGTGGGTTGCTAGTGTGTTTTCTTTATATCCGGGACACTGGCATTCTTTTTCCTGTCTCTCAGCTTTAGCCTCCCTGGCCGAGCTCCCCAAGCACACACACTCTATAGCTTGCATTTCCATAGCCTGAAGATGGACTATTGGTACTACGTCTCATAATTTACAGTTTTGATTTTGTGTCAGGCTCTGTGTACTTCTCTGTGTCTTACCTGTTCATGCATGTGTTCATTGTATTGGGCCTTTTTTTCTTTCTTAGGTCAGATCTCTCCATAGTCATTAAATCATTTGTAACCCACAAACTTCTTTGTAGGTATGCCGTGTGTGTGTGTGTGTGTGTGTGTGTGTGTGTGTGTGTGTGTGTGTGATTGCTCAGAAAATTACCGTATTTATATTCGGAGGCAAGTAAACTGGATCCATGCATATCTGAGTAATTATCCTGGTAGTGGCAGCTCATTGGTTATTTTAAATTACCTTAAAGACTTATAAGGGGAATGATAGAAGAAATATTTCTTTTTCCCATAATAGAAAGAGTAAAGATGAAAATGAATAATCTATTCAGTTTTCTATGTCACATATGCTTGTTAATTTTTTTTCCTGGTAAAAAATTCTCATTTATTCATAAGTAACTGCCTTGAAATGTGTACCTTAAGGACAAAGAAAGGTCACCCGTCCCTCTCACTCCTGGTTCTTTGTCAAAAATGGACACAGTTAATGAGGTTTGTTTGCTACAGAACAAACTCGCAGACACAGATAGAGATCCTTTCAATGGAAACAAATTTGTTTGGCTTCACCAGGTTACCCGGCGATTAATAACAGCCCTGAGGTGCAGGTCAGGCAGGTCACCGGACCCGCTGGCCGGCAAAGCTAAGCGTGCAGCCAGCCCGGCTCTGTGGGCGCGGGAGCCCCCCAAATACTGTGCATAACGGCAAACGGGCTATTTTCTGGCTCCTTCTTTCATATTAATAAGCAATTTTCAAGAGAAGGGTGGCAAAATGAGGGCCATGCCACTCCAAGTAATTCATTTATTTTGCAATTTAATCTTATGTTGAAAAAAATTGCTCTGCTGCAGGAGTGTAGCCTGGTGATTTTTAAACGTCAGGGTGTTTTATAAGTAACCTTGTCTGAAGCATTGTGTTAGGGGCCCTTAGCAGGAACTCGCCGCGGGAACATTCCCAGGCGCTGAGGGAGGAATGGGAGTCTTTTCTTCTTTGGGAATTTCCCCCTCTGCTTTCCGCCTGACACGTTTGAGGTAAAGACCCAGGGTTCACTTAATATTTTACTGATAGGACCAGACAGGAAGTTACATATCTATTTTTTAAAAAGGATAAGATCCAATTGCAAAACATGACCTTTATAGGAATAGTTACACTTACTCTTTTAAAATAAAAGATAACTCTTCACAGAAGTTATTTATTTCTCCATATTTGATAACATATTCTATTTAGGTATTTTTTTTTTTTACATAACATATTTTAAAACCTTATTTTTGTTTAAACATCTTAGAAGCACACACATAAATGATTTAGAAAGTTTTATTAATTTAATGGAATTTATTATACTTAGTCATGAACTTGTTCACATAATTTAGCTTTTATTCTGATTATATAATTGGACAAAATGTCAAGTTTTCAAGTGCATTATAGAAGAAATAGAGGATAATGTATATATTTAATGATATTCATATTATTTGAACTGTCAATGGAAACTGTTAACAGAAATAAAGTTATAATAAATTAAGCATATGTATAAAATTAGCCCAGTTAGTATACAAGATAAATGAGTAGAGATTTCTAACTAGAAAATTAAAATTTAAAGGAACTCAGTAGATCACATCTTTTCTTGGGATATTTAAGTATGTCCAAAATAGTTCATCTTCAACCAAAGAAATGAATATAGTAATTCACTCACTTTGCATTTGATACAGTTCCTCAACGATTGGATTCATTGTAAGATACGGATATTTGATTTTTAAAATGTAACCACTGAACAGTCGCTTTATTTTTATTTATTTCTATTTTTTCTTTTTGGAACAATCCCTCCAAATGCCTTTTAAAGGTTGCAGGGACCCAGCCAGAGCGTGCAGGTGAGACAGGGCCCCAAACCCGACTTTGATTGTCATTCGTGAGAAAATGAAACGCTAAGCAGACTGTTCGCATCCTGGGGTAAGCGCACACTGTTTTGCTGCAGGGAGGCCCTGGACGAGTTCGCAGATATGAGGGAGAGAGAAGAGAAGAAGGCCGACCTCGAGAGGGAGGAGAAGAAGAGAGATTACGCAGCCCGAAAGATGCATTACCTGCTCAGCACGAAGCAGGTTGGTCTACCTGTCCCCTGACAGCTCGTGCGCCGCCGGGGCCCTGCCTGACAGAGACAAACTAGCAGCCTGGATGGGACATGACTGGGTGAAAGATACCACAAAGACACGACTTCCAGTTCAATTCCGTGCTGCTGGGTAGGTGCTCGCAGGCACCCGGCTCGCCTGTGACAGCGGCTTCCTAGCAGCGGCTGCTGGGATGCAGGCGGGAAGGCCCGGGTAGCCCTGTGGTCTCATGTCAGGATCCCCCACACCCAGGGCGTAGCCTCGCTTTCCAAACCCATGGGGAGCAGCTCACTGTTGTGCTGTGAATTGACCAAGAACTGACACGTTATTCAGCCGGCAGAGCATTCAGGTTTCTTGCACCTTTTCCAAATCCTGGTGCAAGTTTTCAGGCACAGCTTTTAACAGAAGTCCTTCGGCAGTTGCATCTTCGCATAGAAAAATAAGTGTGGAATTTGGAATACTTAGACATTTCTTTTCTTTTTATCTATATACTTTCATTGATTTCAGAGGGGAAGGAAGAGGGAGAGAGAGAGAAACATCAACAAGGAGAGAGAACCATTGATAGGCTGCCTCCTGCACGCCCCCTACTGGGGATCGAGCCCAAAACCTGGGCATGTGCCCGGACAGGGAATCCAACTTTGACCTCCTGGTTCATACTTTGACGCTCAACTTCTGAGCCATGCTGGCCGGGCTCCTGTCAGTTTTTACTGTCAACTCATGTAGGTATTTGAAAGGTTACTGAATAAATATGGAAGTGTACATAATTTTTATGAGGCATATCAGAATAAGAAATGTTTTATTAACCTGCTTAAGAGGATAATTGTAATAACATTTTAGCAAGGAGAGAAACACTGTTTGATTGAAAGTAACTCAGAAATGATTTTAATCTAGTTGATAGAAAACTAATTTTATATTAAACTTTCATAGTTCTAATATAGTTTAACTAAGATGAGTAGAAACAAAACATTAATTCAGGCAAATAACGCTTCAGAAAAGATGGATATTTTTGTAAGCTAAAATTGTATTTGTAAATTCAGGCACAGAAAATAAATGGAATCAAGTGTTATTTAGTATATCGATCATTTTGGACAATTATGATGACATACTGACATACTCATACTAATAGCACAGTTTTAAAGTCAGTTTTAAGCTCCTTTTCAGTACAGATCCAATGTATGTTTTAAAGGTTCTAAAATCTAATTTTTACTGATATTAATTATCTCATCTTTATGCAAGCAAATATGTTAGCACAAATAGAAATTACACAACTAAATAACTAATATTACAATGAGTGAATTGATAGACCCCCTCGGGCTTTTATTAATTAAAAAGTTCAAGTCATATTAAAGCACCTTTTGTATATGTTTATTTCAATCAGAAAGCTGAATGTGGTAACTTATTTGCATAAATAATCAATCACTATTTACTCGTAGTAATAAGGTTAATTTGTTGCTACAGACATAACAGGATTAGTCAATTATATTTCCTACAAAATGCTATTTGTTATGCACCCCATCACCTGTAAAACAGGATTGGGTTTAGCACCCTTATTAAATGAACACATCAAAAAGTCTTCGTCCCTGTAAAAGTTCTATGAAAAGAAAGCTACTTTTAGTTGATTTGAATAAGTAAAATGCAGACATTGCCTCCATTTGGAAATTTAATTTATCTTTCTGCAAAGATTGATTATTTAATAAAGTTATTTATTTTGATTCAGTAACCAGTCAAACTAAATCTAACACGTACAGGACATATTCCCTTTGAAGAAAATCTCATTTGCAGATTTGTTTTATTCCAAATAAACTGACTTTCATTCCCTTGTCCTTGTTCTTGGTAATAAATTATGTTGTCTGCGCCACCTACTGGTGGACCCAGGCCAAGGCCCATTGTTGGGCTCCTGAGAAGATGCTGCCTCTAAAATGTTGCACGAATTTTTTAAAGAGCCTCCTGGAGAGGTCAGCAAAGTGGCAGATGCAAACGTGAGACTCGAGGTCAAGTCACAACAGTATTTAGAAACACAGGCCACCACACAGAATTACACACATTTGCAGGGTCCTGATTTGTGAAAATAATACCGTCTTTATTTCAATCTGCTGATAATAGAGGATAAATTAATACAAAATAGATTAATTCCGTATATTCTAACCATGCATATTTTATTTTAGTTATAGCATTTAATAGTTTATGTATATTTTAGTTAAAACTAAAATGGAAATCTATGCATTTAATTAAAATTTGTACATGTATTTTGTGGACATAATTTTCATGTTATCCCTTAATATAATAGGTTTTCAATGCTTCCCCGTTAGTGAGTAGTAGAAATTTTCATATGGACACTGAGAGAGCAATTTTCAGTATTTCTGATTCTTTAAAGGGTTAATATATTGATTAAACTTTATTTTGAATTACTTAATTTTTTTGAGAGAAACAAATGGTTTCAGCTGCTCTTTACAAATTCCTATCACATCTGTATATGGAAGGAAAAATCTTAAATATAAAAGATATACTTGATATGCCCAAAATTAGTTGGTAGTCTGCTGATATGGACAGCATGTCTATAAGACAACTAGAGGTCCGGTGCATGAAATTTGTGCACTAAGGGTGGGGGGGGGGGGGGTCCCCCAGCCCAGCCTGAGCCCTCTCACAGTCCAGGAGCCCTCAGGGGATATCTGACTGATGGCTTAGGCCCAATTCCTGGGGGTAGCGGGCCTAAGCCGGCAGTTGGACATCCTTAGCACTGCTGTGTAGGTGGGAGAGGCTCCTGCCACCGCCGCTGCCCTTGTCAGCCATGAGCCCAGCTTCTGGCTGAGTGGCGCTCCTCCTGTGTGGAGCATCTGCCCCCTGGCGGGCAGTGTGTGTCATGGCAACTGGTCGTTCCACTGTTCAGTTGATTTGCATATTAGCCTTTTATTATATAGGATTCTTGTAAGGTGGAAAAAGGTATAAGTTAAGAACTATAGTACGTCTTCCAAAGCATGGATTGCTTTCAACTCAATCTTCCCAGTATTGTAAGTGGAGTGATTCCACGCCTTACATATAGTAAGTATACAATGTGTGATTGCTCATGTTTAATTTGAGGTGATAACGTCACAGAACGGCAGCCTTTCGGTGTGCACCTGCCTGTGTGTGTGTGTGTGTGCGTGTGTGTGTGTGTGGTATATTTGGAAAGTATCTTTGGAGAGCCTCTTCATGAGAAATTTTCCTCAGGCAATGACATCTCACAGCCATGGCTGGGGACTCCGTGTGATATTAAAACATAATGACTCTCCGGAGAACAATCTTTAGGCCTCTTGATCCTTCTCACCAAACCACATCTTCGACTTTAGAACATTCATTTGGTTCCTTCCCAGTTTGTAAGTTGGACCATTCCTCTCTCTAAGTTCAGAGGAAGTTGATTTAAAAAAAGAAAGAAAGAAAAGATAGATACGTGGAGATCAAAAGTATTAGTTTTATTAGTAATGAAGTCTGGGTTGGAAATGTACATCTAAAACAATAATGGACTTTTCCCAGAGAGTCTCATGGGCAGTGTTTCTTAGAAAATCCTCCCACATGCAAATATGGCTGGAGGGAAATCCTGAGTGAAAATTTAAAAAAGAGAGAGTGACTCTTTCTGTTCCGATATCGGAGAGTCCTCGGGAACTGCCGTGTTCTGGAAGCCTGGAGCCAGCCCCACGCCCCTTCCCCCTCACGCTCGGGGAGTTGCCATGTCACGTCTGCCACGAGGACAGACCCTGCTGCTGCGGAGGTCACCTGTCACCTCCTAATTACCATCCAGCACTGCCTGTGGTCCCCACGCTGCCCCACCTCTCCCCAGCCCCCGACACCGCTGACCTCCCCTGTGAAGCCGTCTTCTCCTGGGCCTGCGGCTCCTCCCTCCTGTTTGCTGTTGGAGTGTCCTTCAGGGGTCCTCTGCCCCCACTTATTTCTACACAGGCACGCCTCACTTTTGTTGCACTCCATGGATACTGTGCCTTCCTTCCTTTCTCTCTCTCTCTCTCTCTCGCGCTCTCTCTCTCTCTCTTTCTCTCTCTCTCTCCTTTCTTTCTTCTACACAGGCACACCTTGCTTTTGTTGCATTTCGTGGATACTGTGTTTTCCTTTCTTTCTTTTTAAAATATATTTTTAAATACATTTTTATTGATTTCAGAGAGGAAGGGAGAGAGAGATAGAAACATCAATGATGAGAGAGAATCATTGATCGGCTGCCTCCTGCACGCCCCACACTGGGGATCAAGCCTGCAACCTGGGCATGTGCCCTTGACCAGAATGCAACCTGGGACCCTTCAGTCCACAGGCCGACACTCTACCCACTGAGCCAAACAGGCTAGGGCAAGGTGGGCACCTCTGTTACGACCATGATGAGAGGACATTTACAGTGAGCGGGAAATGTTACTGTTGGTCACAGAATCATTCTCCTCATCCCCCCTCCCCACTCCAGAGAAGGGCATGATGGGCTGATGGCGCTGTATTCATCCCTGTACACACCTTAGACCCGGCAAAGCCTTTCTAAGTTAGTAGACGCTCAATATTATTGCATTGAATTAGTTACATAGAAAATGGTGTCTTATTTAAATTTTAATTGGCATTTTGTAAGAATACTTTAATATCTGATAATAATGTTAAAGATATCAACATGGTTTCTAAAAATCACTTATTAACCTAAAGAAGCCAGCTACATCTGGCATCTACATATAACGTGACCCCTCTAGAATTTGACCCTAACCACTTGAAG